GTAAGTTTCCCGTAAGTTTCCCGTAAGTTTCCCGTAGGTTTCCTGTAGGTTTCCTGTCGGTTTCCTGTGTGTTTTCTCCTCCCCTCCCTAGCTCCTCCCCCTTCCCCCTCCACCCGGCCCCTCCCCTCCTCCTCCACCCTTCCCGTAAGTTTCCCTCCATAAAGTCCCCCTCCCCTTATTCGTCCCCCCCTTCCCCCTCTTCCCCCTCCCCCACCCTCTCCCCCTCCCCCACCCTCTCCCCCCTCCCCCCTTCCCCCTCTCCCCCTCCCCCCCCCTCCCTTCGCACCCTCCCCCCTCCCCTCCCCCTCCCCCCTCCTTCCCCGCCTCCCTCCCGTAAGTTTCCCGTAAGTTTGCCGTATATATATATATATATATAGAAAATAGCTATAATTAAAATTATATATTTGTTTAAAGTAGGAGGGCTACCCCCGTAGTTTCCCGTAAGTTTCCATTCATGCAGCAAATGCCATGCATGCATGAACATGAACACTCATGCATGCATTGAACAATGACACACTGCACCCACACATGCATGCATGCACTGCCAGCTATACTGCACTTGCAAGCTAGGGTGCAAAAACGAAACAACCCATGCGTGCATCGATCGATTTATTTCGCGTTCTTTGCCGAATACACTTGCGTCCAGTAGTCGAGGTGCTTGCCTCCGCGGTTTCCACGTGGCCTTTTGGCCATGGCAGCTTCGGCAGATCCATCCTGTACAGGGCGTTTTGCTGGCGGCGGCGGCACAATTTGGCTGATACGGAATTCGTAGCTGGTTGGTGCTGGAGGTGCGGGGGGCAGAGCTGCAAGCTTTGGTCCTGCAGGGGCAGGCGGTGCTGCTGGAGGTGGGGGGGGGTGGGAAAGCCTTGGTCCTGCAGGGGCCGCCGCCGGCATCTTGGAGGATGTCGACTGAGGCGGTCTTGGGCTGGGGCACGCTTTAGCCGGCGGCTTTGGTTGTGCAGGAGCCGCCGGCATCTTGGAGGATGTAGACTCAGGCGGTGTTGGGCTGGGGCTCGGTGCTGCTTTAGCCGGCGGTGGTATCAGTCGGGGACGCGCCTTGGCTGGCAAGGCCTTAGGCGTTTGGGCTTTTACGGGTGGCGGCACCCTTCGTGGCTGCCTTGCCACTGAGACTGGTTGCTCCCTCTGCGCTGGTGGTGTTCTGCTTCGGCGGTGCGCTGGTGGTGTTCTGCTTCGGTGGCAGTGCTTGCGGGCCTCTGCAACTGAGACTGGTTGCTCCCTCTGCGCTGGTGGTGTTCTGCTTCGGCGGTGCGCTGGTGGTGTTCTGCTTCGGTGGCAGTGCTTGCGGGCCTCTGCAACTGAGACTGCTTGCTCCCTCTGTGCTGGTGGTGTTCTGCTTCGGTGGCGGTGCAAGCAGGGCAAGGGGTCCTCTGGGGAGCGAGCTGGGGCGCTGGGCCTGCAGGTTGTGGAAGGGCACCCTGTCGAACTCGAACCTACAACGCTTTTCAGATGCACAGCCCATTCCGGCGGCATGGGGGGTGCCTGGCGCGGCATGGCTGCCAATGCCGGGTGCTTTCTGTAGAGATGTTGCATGCGCGGTTGCAACTCAGCCGGAGTGTCACCCAAAGCGAACATCAGCCCTGGACAGTAGACAAAGCTCGCCACGGAGCTTTTGCGATGGAGGTCTCTCATATAGGCCAGGTATTGGTGGCCCATCGTGCTCCTCGGATACCAAGCTGGTCGATTGGCTAGCTTGGCGAGGTCCTCCAGCGCCACCAACGGCCCATCACGTAGATCATAATCTCCCATCAAGCAGGCGCGTATGAACGCCAGCTGCTCCACTCCTTGCATGCATGCATCATGTGTAGAAGCAGGTGCATGCATGCATTTGCAGTGTTTAATATCTACTAATGGTGTCTATACATATATATATATATATGACAATTATACATATATATATATATATATATATTTATTTATTTATTTATATACGGTGGTGTGCTTGGGGTTTGGGTTTAGGGTTGGGTTTAGGGTTTAGGGTTTAGGGTTTAGGGTTTAGGGTTTAGGGTTTAGGGTTTTGGGTTTTGGGTTTTGGGTTTTGGGTTTAGGGTTTAGGGTTTAGGGGTTAGGGGTTAGGGTTTAGGGTTTAGGGTCCCCGGGGTGGTGTGGTTGGGGTTTGGTTGAGGGTTTAGGGTTTAGGGTTTTTGGGGTTTAGGGTTTCGGGGTTTAGGGGTTTTAGGGTTTAGGGGTTTAGGGTTAAGGGTGGGGGGGGGGGGGGGGGTGGGGGCGGAGGGGGGGTGGTGGGGTGGGGGGCGTTGGGGGGGGAGTTGGGGGCTGGGGGTTGGGGGGCTGGGGGGGTGGGGGGTGGGTGAGGGGGGTGGGGGGGGGGGGGGGGGGGGTGTTACCGACCGGGGACAGGGAAACATGTGTTTACATTATATATATATATATATATATATCTATATCTTATAATATATACATGTATACATTACATGTACATATATATATACATATGCAGAAACATACATACATACATACATACATACATACATACAGACATACATATACATACATACATACATATATATATATATATATATAGTGATAAGTCATATACAAATATGTATGTATGTTTGTATATATATATATATATATTATAAATGCATGCATGCATGCATGTATACATGCGCAATGTATATACATACATATATGTATATATATATATATATATATATTGTCTGCATGCATATATACATGCATTTAGCATGTGCGCGGCCTCTGGCTGGATCATCCATTCGATATCCACACGAGTCCCATTCACCTGCAAGGCAAAACCGAGCGCAACTTGTTGTGCATGTGCACATGCAGGTGCGCATGCATGCAACACGCATGAACGATAGATCATTCGGCCTGGCAGGCCAAAGGGAGCAGGTCCGGGCGCGAAGGTGCCTGCCACAGCATGTGCACGCATGCACACATGCATGCATGCAGAGATCGAGCACCATGCTTTAAGAGAAAGCAGCACTTGCACACGCATGTTGTTTTTTGCACGCGCATGCGTGTGAAGGATCTGCATGAGCACGTGCGAGATCATCCTGCGCGTCGAGGCTCCTGGTGCACCTCATACTCGCTGCCATCTTCGCTGTCGGAATCGAAAACACACATGAGTCCACGAAAGAACCAGCGCCAATCAGCATGGCACCACCAGCACAAAGTTTGCACTGCTTTGCGCTCTTCAGCAGTGAGCAGACGCCACATCGGGGGCCTTGACAATGCACTGCTCAAATCATTGTTCTGCCATTGTGCGCGAGGCAGCAGACGCGGCCGTCGCTGTCGCCTGCGTCTGCCTGCATGGCGCTTGCGTCCACCATGATGTCCGCGGCGATGAGGCATGAGAGTTGCTTTAATGCACATGTATTTATATATATATATATCGATATATATGCGCAAGGCATAGTGCATGGACCTTTAAAAAGCACATGGATCGGCGCACGCCTGCAATAATATTACCATACATGCATGCATGCATGATCGATCGAGCCAAAACTAGGACAATCCATCAATCCTTTGCGATTATATAGAAGCATATGCATGACTGCACAGCCGCAAACACAAGCGCGCGTGTACATGGCAGGCCTTGCTGGTGAGGCACGTAGCCGGCCAGCCGCGGCAAGCTTGTGGGGTCCCAACCTATAGCTACGCATGCATGCAAATCAAAAGTCGAGTGAAGCACTCATGCATGCAAACGCCCTGGGCTTCCAGCGATTCGGCACTGCAACAGGATCACGCGCGCAGGGCTCTGCGGGATTCGGCGCCGCTGCATCATCATGCACGGTCGCCATGCGCATGCATGCGTATGCATGCAGCAGAAAACTAGTGCGGGAAAGAATCATTGCATGCATGCATATATAGTTTTTCCTATTACGACTAATTATTCTATATATATATATAGTACAGGACGTATATGTTTGGGGTCCTCGCTCGCGGTATGCTTTTCTGCAGTGCAAATTAAGGCCGAGTGGGAGGTGAGGGTTGGAAGGTTTCTGTGAAGCTGCGTTTCCATGATATTATGCCCTATAAATACTATATATATATATACACGAAGCATGTTTATAGTACATTCATAAAAACATTGGACCTAGAGCATGAAAGATTATGCATGCATGCTTGCTGGCGACCAACGCAACATGCATGATCAACAACACGCATATGACAAGAAATCTCTGCACTCGCTTTTTGTTCTTGCGGATGGATCGCCAGAACGTTGCAAGATATGATAGCTTAATTGATGCACATGTATGCCTGCATGAATTGCAGATCCTGCTCATGAAGACATGTTTGCATGTGCACATGCATGCATGCGCATGTATAAGACTCTGGGCGTGCATGCTATAGCAGGATCCGAACCTGCACCGCCAGCCGGTGCGCGCTCTACACCGAATCATCGGGCGTGGTCGCCATTGATCATGTCAGCCACAAAGGTGTGCACGGCGTCCAACCTTGGAACACGCATTTCCCAACTGCCCCCTCCCGCAGGCTCGGCGCCCCACATGAATTGTCACCAACCCGCCGGGCCTCGCATCGTCCCAGTTGTCGGGACTGTGGTCGAGTAACACTTGGTGATCGGGGGGCTTCTCCGCGAAAAGCAGGAAATCGCGCGCTACCTTGCGTGCACGTGTGCGTATTCTCTATATATATATATACATATACATCATGTGTGTGTGTTTATATATATGTATATAGATATATATATACATATATATATAAGCGATAAAGATATAAATTGAAGAAAGAATAAAATAAAGGTAGAAAAAGATAAAGAGAGAAAGAGGTAAAGAGAGAAAGAAATAAAGAGACAAAGAAAGATAAAGAGAGAAAAAAAACAGAAAGTAAAATAAAGAGATTAAAAAAAATCAGGAAGAGAGGAAGAGAGCAAGAAATGAAGAGACGATAAGAGGGGGAGAGAGAGAGAGTGAGAGATAAAGCGAGGAAGAATGGAAGAGAGGAAGAGATAAAGAGATAAGGATAAATACAACGAGAGAAAGAGACAAGAGGAAAAGAGAGAGGGAGAGAGAAAACGATAGAGAAAGATAGCGAGTGAAAGAACGAAGGAGACAAAGAAAGAAAGAAAGACATAAAGTTAGCAAGACAGAAAGAAAGCGAGAGAGAGAGAGAGAAAGAGGGAAAGATAGAGACAGACAGAAAGATAGATAAAGAAAGAGAGAAAGGGAAAGACAGTCAAAGAAAAGAAGAACATATATATAAGAGATAGAGAGAGAGAGAGAAAGAGAAGGACAGACAAAGAGAGAAAGAGACAGGGAGAAAGACATACACAGAGAAAGAGAGAAATTAAGGTAAAGACATATAAATAGACAAAACAATGATTTTTGTTAAACAAGATAGAAAACATATAGAGATAAAAAAAAGAGAAACAGAGAGAGAGAGAGAGAGAGAGCCAAAAACACACATAAATAAAATGAAAGATAAAGATAAAAAAGGAAAGCAAGAGAGAGAGAGAGAGAGAGAGAGAGAGAGAGAGAAAGACGAGAGAGATAAACAAAGAAACACGATCGTGAGAAAGAGCTAGAGAGAGCAACAACATGCAATTAGGAATCTGCAACACACCAGCCTCCGAGCAGAACCTTCCATTATAGGTTTGCGTCTTCTTCAAATTGTCCTTGCATCCAGTGAAGGTGGCCTTCCCGGTTTTCTTGGATTTCCCTTTCCTCGAGGTAGCCATAGACTTGTGCTGGGCGGCCACTTTCCGATCCAGTTTCCTACGCGCAGGCATGCGTGCACATGTGCACTGCGCATGCAAATGTATAACACACATGGGCCCACAAATGCATGCACACAAGAGCTGTCCGCGACAACTGGTGCACAAAGGGGTCGTCTGAAAGAAGACGGATTGGTTTGGCTGTGGCATGGCCAAACATTCCCAAGTAAGTCACCACGTCGTAGATCGGGCGGCTTGCAATCAGGGCCGCGAATCGAAGATGCTTCGTGATCTAAGAGCTTGCACATTGCATGCAACATGTTTGGGGGCTACATGTAATCGAACTTTAACATGCATGCGTGCATCATGCGTGCTAGCTTAGTCAGCATCCACGTCGCCAGGGATTGGCTTGGATTCTCGATGACGAAATGACAGTTGCGCCAGAGGGCGACCAAAGCAAGCAGGATTGCCTGAACGAACAATAAATCAACATGCACACATGCACGCAGAAGTACTATATATATTATATATATATATATAGTAGCATGCCAGAGCTGCCGCCTAGGTGCTCGCGATACCATCTCGTTCGCTGCAGCCACATTTGGCCATTGCCTAAAACTGACATGCTCGATCCTTCTCTCTCTCTCTCTTTCACCGTCTCTCTCCGTCTCTCTCTCTCTCTCTATCTTTTTCTGACTCTTTCGCTGTCCCTCTCTCACTCTCACTCTCCCTCTCTCTCCTTCCATTGAAATGCAGCCAAAGATCGTGTTTCCCATTGGAGTGGCCTCTGACCTTCCTGTGGAATGACCTGAAGAACATGGAAGCATGAATGTATATATATATATATTATATTAATCATATTAAATTATATTAAATTATATTATATATATATATATTATATTATATGATATTATATCATATTATAATATCGATCCGATCACAAACATACTTCTAATTTGTTCATTGTTGCGTGTGTTCCCTTTATATAGATATACTGACATTACACCACGGTATGCTGGCAAGACACGACACATGACGGACCAGGACGAGCAAACCACCGCCATGTACAGCAACCCTCCTTCTCTCAAATGCA